CTGCAGGGTCAGTCCGCCAGGCTCTGCTATCCAGTGTCTCCTCCTCAGGAGTTAGGCATGACCTTCCTCCTGCAGGGACCCCTTTTCTACCTGCTCCTTTTACCGAATTAGCTCTCTCAGAGTTTTAGCATTCTACCTAAATGTCACTCTCCTGGGGTCCTCATGATAGACCAATCCCTGTTACATAATTCTAATAACATCTCTCTTCCATTCTTCAAGTCACTTATCACAATTTGCATTCACTTTTTTTTTAATGCCTGAATTTCCCACTGCAACTAAATTTTACAGAATTTAAGTAATTTCCTCACCATTGTTTCTCAAATAAACAAACAAAGACTGGACACAGTAGCTGCTCAGTAAATCTATATTTACTCAGTGAATGATTGCATGATTAAAGATGCAGATCCACATTCATAGAAAAAGGGCCAGGTCCCTCCGATTTTTTTCATTCTGGTTGGGTGACTGACCAAGTACTCAGTCTGAGAGACTCTTGGTGCACACCATGGAGGGGGTGTGGAGAAGATTTTGCCCTGTGAACATGGGTGGGCTGCTATGACATTCCATGGGGTTTCCCTCCCCCTAGGATGGTTGAGATTTTGCAACAGAAAAACAGGCGTAACTTTTGATAGGGTGACTCTAGGCTTCTGGAGAACATTTTCTGGGACAACAGGTTGTGACCAGAGAGCAGAAAAGGCCAGATATCTCCCAGGTGCAGTGGAACAAGTATGGTCCTTTCTAGGCGACTTTGACTCAACTCCTGGCCTGGCTGGGCTTGGGTATAGTTGTCTATAGAGAGCAGCACTTTCTCTCCCATGTCAAGGTAGCTCTGTGAGGATTAATGCAGGAATGTTTAAGCAGCATGCCTGGCACATAGTATGTGCTCAATAATTATGTATCAATTATGCCATCCTGGACTGGTTGTTTCTGGTTTAACACCCAGTGACTAGTACAGAGTGTAGCACATAGTAGGTGCTTTAGAAAATCTATATTAGGGATTCAAGTACAGTAAAATATTTTTACTTCAGTAAAATTTCCTACCTCCAAAGATTTCTGTGTGCAAAAATTTACCCCTCACCAGATACTCAAACCAATTGCTTTCTTTGTAGGCAACTCAGATCCTTGTGCTTTGGAACCTCTGAGTTGGAGAATTAACATGTGTGTTTGTAGGGGTGGCTCTGTCCCCAGTTGTCATCATGACCCTCATTCTCCCTTCTGCCTGTGGAGGGCGGAGATTCATGAGCCCCCATCTGAACGAGAGGGCTACAGAACCCAATCAATGGAGAGAGGGATTGCTATTTGGTCCCAGTACTAGAGAGAGCACAACCGTTTCTTTGAAATTGACCTTCATTTATTTGGAGGGGAAAGCAGTTAGTTCAATAATGGCTTCCTGGTGCCTTTCAGCGTTTTAAAAGACGGAAGAAAGATTTGGAGCAAGGCAAGGTTCCAGTGTTTTCTAAACAACTCACTAAGCCCAGCCACGACTTGGCTGCTCAGCACTTCCTGCCACCCAGCCTCACTGCCTGCCACGCCGTGGCACACATCCCTCCGTGGCCCTGCCACTTCCAGAGCCCCTGACCAGGCCATCCCCAGGCGAGTGGGGGTGGGTCTTCACTGTCACGCCAGGCACCTAACAATTCCCTTGGACCACTTGCACATATTGCACATGGCTATATTCTATTCCAATTATTTCCTGTCCCTTCCTGGCCCAATTCCAGGGGCCAGAGAAAGAGGTCCTTGTTTGGTGGCATCCATCTCTGCTCCTTGGTAAGTGAGCACTGGTCCCTGGTCCAGCTTGATCTGTGGCCACCCACAGGCCAAGGGTGTGGAGGAGGTGGGGAGGGTGTCCCAGGTAGGGGAGCGCAGCGGGAGACACGAGGTCCTGCTCTACAGGCAGCCTTATCCGCGCCCCAAATAAAAATAATGGAGGAGGAAAAACACTTGGGGGCTCCTAAACACGATCCAGTGGGGAGGCATGGCTGTCTTCCCTCCTCCCCAGAAGGAATCCCAACCTTTCTCTCCTATGGAGAAAACAAACACAGCTATGGAAATGTCATGCCACCAGGCACCTGGAAGTCTAGCACCAGTGCAAGCTGTCTACCGGCAGCTCTCTGTTTGCCCAGCATCGTCCTCCCCCAGATCCGCTTTCACCCTTTCTGAGGGGAAAGCCCTCATGGAAAATTTAGAGTTTGGAACCTGCTTTAGATTCCAAAGGAGTTATTGTTCTTCATCAAGCTACTTTTATTTGGGTGTTATTTTAACTCAGAGGAAGTAAAAACCCACACCTCCATTTTGCTGGGATGTTCTTCCTTGGTGATTAAGAAAACACTAATTATGTGGCTTCTCTGCTTGAACTCTAGAGCACCTTTTTGGAGCCCATCCCAAACCCCGGGCTAGGAGTCTGCATTCCTCGCCTCACCTGTTGGGTTTCCACGGAAGAAGGATGTGAATGGAGCCAGCTCTGGGACTGTGTGTTAGAAGGTCTTCGAGACATCAGGATGTGGACACTCAGAAAGTTTCCACAGCAAGGAAAGGACAAGCACGCTACTCTGAGGTCGCTCGAGGCGCAGCAGCCTCTCATTTCTTACGGCATAGAAGCCAAGGCTGAGACGCTAGGGGCTGAGGTCTCAGAGAGGCACAGAGAGAAAGGAGAGGGACAGTGACAACAGTGTGAGCAAGAAGAAGCTTGATGGCTTGCGGTGCAGGGCCCAGAGAGAAGCCACGGCACCCGAGACCACTGCGTGGCTGGGGAACGTGCAGCCACTGGATTTTACTGAGCCAGGTTCTCTGTGTGTTGAGTCCAGTTTGCTACATATTCATCATTTCCCAGGTGATTCTGGTGCTTACTAAACTTTGAGGTCCTGCAATATACTTCAGCCCTCTTATTGTCCAGACGTGAGATCTGGAGAACAGAAAGCTAAATCAACAATTCTGAGGGATGCAGAGCTAGCTGATGGCAAAACTCGAGACCAGAGCAAAACCAGAGCAGAGTTTTTCGTTTTATCACGCTGGAAGCTTCCCACCAGTTTGCAGTTTGTTTCTCTTGCATCTAAAGCCAAACTTGCACCTCAGATCATTTCTGTATCCTCCTGGGGTCTGTCTTTACTTTTGTTTCTTTTTTGTTGTTGTTGTTGTTTTTTGGGGGAACATGCTCTGGTCACAGCCTCTGAGGGCTGGAGGACAGAGGTAGGAAAAAAAAAAAACAAAACACCTAGCTCTGTCCCGAGGCTTTAGTAACAGATGTGGGATTGATAAATGAGGAGAGAAGGAGAAAATACACTATTGTGACTGAGAGGGTGACCGTGTGTAATACTAATCATTAACTTTCACTGAACACTTTGTTTGTGTGCCAGATGCAGTACTAGAGTCCATATGTTAGTGCAAAAATTCATGGAGCAAATACTATTTAGTCCCATTTCATAGATGAAGAAACTGAAGCTCACAGTCGTCTGCACAAGGTCATGTAGCTAATAAGTCAAATCATCTCTACATATGACCATGATCTTTCTATCACCCAGTACAAAGCAATGTGAACCATCATCCCCTGACAACCTGTCCAACCTGCAAAAGGACTTTGGGACCTTGGAAAAGAGAAGCAAGCTCCTCCACAGTGGGATGTGCCTGCACCTAGGGGAGAACTTCAAGCTCTTTCCACTTAGCACTTGGCACTGAAAATATTTCTTAAAGTTAGTAAGCCTACAAGCCTGCCCTAGAAAAGATGGCATGGAGAGAAAGCTAAACAGATTTTTTTTCCCTCTTTCTGTCTTTTAAAAAAGGAAACCCTTGATACTAGTCTGCTGTTTTTCCATTCATCGTTTCTCTTAAAAGCACTGTATCTTTAGAACTTTAGTTGCTGGAGGGTTTGGTTACGTTCAGTGACAGCCGAGACCCTACTGAGATTGCAGGTGTGTGTGGTCTGGGGCATGGTGCAGCTGCCAGCTCTCCTGATACGGTGGCACATGACTGTGACATGATCACTTTCCTCCATTCAATTCTGTGCTGTTCTCCAGGGATAGGAACAGAAAGCAGAGCAGATCAGTGCTTCAGAGAAGGGACGAGGGTTTCCCACAGCCACCTGTCACAGTACCCTCCTCTAGGTTTACCTCCTGATCAGACATTGGCTTCTTTCTTAGATGAAATCAGCCCCGGGAAGCATTTAGTTAGTGGGACCACCAAGCAAAATAAGATGGGCACATTTCTGTGAAAGGTGAAGGATACACTGAATTCTATCTTGCCAGACTGGGCATCTTGCAACTGAAGGTGAGGGTCAACTTTAATCTAATTCTGGACATTCCATAAATCACCAGACTTAGGAGCATTTTGGGTTGGACCCTGAGAATGTGTGACCTCCTAGTCATCTTTTCTTTCAAGCCTCAAGCTTTAGGTTTGAAAGGCCCAGCCGGTTGAGTAGCTGTCAGATGCCCTTATTAACTGATAATAAAGGCAGTGCACTGAGGTGCTAGCCAGTGGTGACGGAGGACGGAGGACGGGGAGACTGCAGCTTCTGCAAAGCTCCCCAGAAATGTGAGCCGCGGAAACGCTCAATGAACACTGCCTTTCTGTGAACGAGCTGCCTCCCTGCTTCCCAAATGCCGCGTCTGCAGTGACTACAAACTATTTGGTATGCTGCGTTAGTGACGCTGCCTTGGCCAACACATCATTACTACTGAAATAACGCTGGTGTGATGCTCAAGCCCAGTATCCTTTTTAATTATTAAACCAAGGCTGGCTGGCAAGTGAGTCATCCCACATCCCAGATCTTCCTTCTGTGGTTCTATTTCGAGTGTCTAGTACCTTAGCGCATTCCACTAACACCTGAGTTGGTTCTTAGCCAGCTCCCTAATCTGCAAAGCCTTTGCAGAACAAACAATATTATCCAATCTCCAAACACACAGAGGCTGCATTGCAAAAACAAAACTCCCATGAAAACTTTTAAGTGTAAGCTTATCAGGAAACCCAAGATCCAGACACGTCCAGGTCCCCTCTGCCCGTCCCCAACTTACCAAGTGGGAGAGCGATGAAGAAGGGGAGCCAGCACAAGATGAACATACCGACCACAATGCCCAAGGTCTTGGCTGCTTTCTTTTCCCTGGAGAATTTAAAAAGTTTGACAGCTATGGAACTCCTGGGGTTGTGACCCTTGGCCTTGGTACTGCTGAGTGTGTCCTCATGAAAGTTCTTGGAGTGGATCCTCAGGGTCAACTCCTTGGAGTTGGACATCTCCTTCATGACGCCTGCCTCCAGGTTCTTCGTGGTCCTCTTGGCCACTATGTAGACGCGGCAGTACATGACCAGAATGACCGCCAGAGGGATGTAGAAGGAGCCCAGGGAGGAGAAGAGGGCGTAGAAAGGTTCTTCGGTGACCCCACATTCCTTGTCATCATTGGGCGCTGGCTCCTTCCAGCCAAGGAGAGGCCCAATGGAGATGACCGTGGACAACACCCAGACACTGAGGAGCGCCAAGATGGCCTTCCTCCTGGTGACCAGGGTGGGGTACCGCAAAGAGTAGCGCACCCCGATGTAGCGATCGATGGAGATGGCGCACAGGCTCAGAATGGAGGCCGTGCAGCACAGGACGTCCACAGCTGCCCAGATGTCACAGAAGATCCGCCCCAGCACCCAGTAGCCTAGCACCTCCAGGGTCGCCGAGAAGGGCAGGACAGTGAAACTCAACAGGAGGTCGGCAATGGCCAGGTTGACGATGAAGTAGTTGGTGGGCGTCCGCAGGTGCCGGTTGCAGGCCACAGACAAGATGACCAAGATGTTGCCCACGATGGCAAAGAGGATGAAGGCGCCCAGCACCAGGCCCACAGAGATGGCCCTGGTGATGTCCAACTGGGGCAGCGTGGAGTTGTTCGAGGTCTGGTTGGGGCCACTGAAGTTGGCATTTTTCAACTCTCCCCAGTGGGCAGGTGCAGATGTGTTGTGGCCGGCGTCCAGATGGGGATTCATCTTAGAGTCCGCCCTCCATAGCCCGGGAGGTGATTGGGCTCGGAAGGGCTGCGAGCAGGGCGCTTCAGCTGCCCCGAAACTTTGCTTCCCCCGTGGTCTTCTTCCCAGAGGCGCCCTCCCGGCGAGGAATCATCTCCCCTGGGCAGCCCAGCGAGCCAGCCAGCAGCACGTCGCTTGCCTGCACCGAGCCGAGCCGCTCGCTTGCCTGTCACAGGGAGGAGGAGAGAGGGGACGAGGCGGCAGCTCCAAGTTTAATGGTCCGCGTCAGGCGCGCCGGGCCGGGCTGGCAGCGCAGCGCAGGGCAGCGCAGGGAGGCGCGGGGCGGGCAGGGGGCGCGCGGACCGGCGGGGTCTGCCAGCGAGCCAGCGAGCCAGCGAGCGCGGCGCCTCCTGCAGCCGGCCAGCGCCGCGGAGGGGCTGCTTTCAATGAGCCGCCTCTGGGCTGACTGCTCGGCGGTGACATCAGGCGGGGAGCCCGGCGCCCTGACTCCGCGCGGCACTAGGGGGCAATGCGGGCCCAGCCACCGAGCCCGCAGCTCCGACGCCGCCTGGCCTCCGCCTCCCGGACCGAGCCGCCGGCCGCGCCCCCGGGCTCCCGGGCAGCCCTGTGCGGGGTGGGGCGCGGGCGGGAGGGGGGCCGGAGCGGGGAATCCCGGTTTCCCTCCTGGCTGTGCCCCCCCCCCCCCGGTTCCTTTTCGGGTTCAAGAGTGGGCTGGGGCCCTTACCTCTGCTGAGGGCCCCTGGAGTCAGGCCTCGAGCTGGTGCGGGGTGTGCACGCCCCTTGTGTGACCCCTAAAAGAGGAAGAGTTGCAGGGTTAGGCAGGTGTAGGGTCTTGATTCCCATGGGAGCCAGCCCTCCTCCGTTACCTTTCTGGTGCATCTCTTCCCTCTGATAAAACCTGGAGCCTTTATTCTTTCTTCCTCCATTCATTCATTCCTGCACTCCTGCATTTGGTGAGTTGTCACTGATCCCCACTCCCCGGCCGAAGTTCTTTCTGTTCTAGGCTTTGTAGGTTTGGCGCTCGGACAAAGAGGCAAAGACCTCCCCGCTCTGGGAGCTTGCGTTTAGTGAGAGGAGACAGACAAAAAGCTCAGATAAGCACATTATGAGACACGCCACCTGATGACAGGTGCGGGGCGGGGGCGAAGTGAGGAGAGGGGAGTACTTTGCAGGCGTGGGGAGGGGGCTGCAATTTCCTAGGGTGTCACTGAAGCGCTGGTTGGGTCAGGAAGGAAGAAGTATTTGGCTCTAGTAGGAAGGGAGGCACCGACATCTGGGAGAGGGATTGAGGGGATCTTGGTCATCTGTTGATCTTTTCTCTTTTCTGCCTCATATTCCTGTTCAGCATGCGGATACTGGGACTCCCCATAGGAGAATGAACCGTGCTTAGAGAAAGTATAAACTCCCCCACCAGAGGCCAAGAGCAAGCCTTATGTTAGTTTAACCGTACACAGCCCATGCTGTCGTGGAGAGGATACTATGTTCTTGTCGCTTTTTCTCGTGACCCTAGAAGAACTGGTTTCATCCTCATTTCTTTGTGTGAAGGGGCCACCAATTTCCATGAACTTGAACTCTTTTCCCTGAAGTTCACTTAGCTGTCAAGGAGAGGAGCTAAGACTTGACCCCACTGTGGAATCCATTCCAAAGGTGAGCATTTGGTGGCCACCTCACATTTTTGCTCTGGGCAAGGTCGGGGGATGGAGTGACTGTTACAGCTGCAGCTGCGTGCTGCTTGATGAATTTTGGGGTCCAAGTTCCTGGTACTGGGAGGGAACTCAAATTTACTGAGTTCCTGCAGATTGCCAAGCATTTACTTCTTTTCTTCTGAACAATTCTTTGAGAGGAGCGTTGTTGTTTTCCATGAGCAGATGAGAAATGGTGGCTTAGGGAGCGTAGATGCCTGCGGTCATAGGACCGGTGACACTTGGCGGAGCCCTGGACGGTGGCAGCTGGAGACAAAAGAGTCCAGCCTGACACCTTCTTTTACTGCAGGCTACCAGCTGTCTCAGTCCTGTCCTTGATAATCATCACAGTTTAGAACTAAGGGGCGAGAAGGCAGAGGCCACTCACATTGATTTACTTCCCTGCTTCTTAATATCTTTTTACTCTTATTTTTCAGAAACAATACTCTTATTTTCAGAAAAAAAGGGCAGATAGTCATTGCATACCTGACATTGTAACTTTCTCCCACTAGATAGAGACTGTCCAAATGCACAAAATAGGTAATTTCAAGGGGTTTCCCTAAATATTAAAAATATTCTATGGTGGGTACTGCTCTGAAAACAAACAAAAATTTTTTTTCTAGTCTAGATTTTATTTGAAAATTTTAAAATAAGACATACATAGTTTATAGCAGATCTTCAAGGGATCTCAAACCCAAATTTTCCTCTTTTTTTTTTTTTTTTTTTTTTGGTACCAGGGATCAAACTCACGACCTTGCACTTGCCAGGCAGGTGCGTATGTGCTGAGCTAAATCCCCAGGCAAATTTTCCTTTTTTTTAAAAAACAGAGTCTCACTAGGTAGTCCAGGCTGGGCTCAAACTGACTGTAAAGCCCAGGCTGGCCTTGAACTCCTGGTAGTCTTCCTGCCTCTGTCTCTTGAGTGCTGTGATTACAGGTTTAGCCACTATGCCTGGCTTGCCAAGATTCCCCATTTGCCCACTGTGGAACTGGTGCAGCAGCAAAGGGAGCTGGCAAGCTGCCATGGCTGGTTGGGGCATTGCTGGTTATCGATCCCTGCACCCCTGGTATATAGGAGGGGGCTTCTCCCCTGCTGCAGAGAAAGCCTCCCAAGATGGCCACTCATGGCGTTCACCGAGGAGTGGGAGAGGGATGGCTCTCTGCCAATGATTTTAATGAAAAAGCGAAGTTATTCTTGATCTTGAGTGGCATAGGTACTAATCTGAAGACAGGGGCTGGCCTAGGTGATCTGAGCTGCTGTAGCTCCAGGCGGTCAGCTTCCTGTGCTGATTAAAGTGGCCCCTGCAGCCAACCCTGATGCCTTCTGTCATGTATCTTCCACATTAGGTGGGGGAGTGGGTGTCATCCACTTAACTCCCACCACTCCCAGACCTTTTCAAGGCCAGCATGAGGAAGCTTCTCGTGGACTGTTTTATGCCCAAGGCACAGAGGGATGAAGAAGAGAAGGCCCGAGAGCTGGCACAAGGCAGGAGCGTGGGGAGGAACAGGGTGGTACACAGTGGAGGGCCAGTTCTAAATCCACATTTCGATTGTGTGGATCACGCCATTGAATTTACAGAGGCCACGTCTACATAATCACAGTAACCAGCTGCAATGTGAACACTTAGCCTATTACACATTATTCTATGGTGGCAAAAGCCCAGGAGGGAGAAAAAAAAAATGAGTCAAACTGAGATTCAAACTTGGTTTCTTTTTATTATGAAAAAGAGTAGTTTGTTGTCTAAGTGTGAACTTGTGCCTTGTTTCAGGCGTCAGAGGTAGAAGAGCTAATTCAGCCAGATAGACAAGTTCAGAATCCTTGCAGGTTTTGGACACATTGTCATTTGCCAGCATCTTTTGCAAAAGCAAAACAAACTTCCCACCATAAAGTGTGTAGGTGTTATTCTTAATAGCAGCTGCATAACAGGACCCCACCGGGCAATCTTTGCCATGGTCATTATTTTGCCCTCTTGCCCTCCCCTCATGGAGATGCCTCTTAATCCTTCAGGCTGATTTTTGACCCGTGGAACTGACCATTTTGTTTAGGTGTCATGAGGATACAGACGATATTTCATTTTCTCGATACTCCCTGGGGCAAAGCCAAGCACAGAGCTCTGACTCACTCAAGGCTTGGGGAAGAAGAATCTTTTCATTATCCATCTTTATTACATTAGAAACCTCTGATGTTGCAAACTCCCATTGCTGTAAGCTGTCACTGAATTTGTCTGGTGGGGAAACTGAGGCTGGAGGGTTGTGGGATCTGCTTGGGTATCTTGGTAGGAGATCTATCAGCTGCGATCAAGGGGTTTTGCATGGTTCTCCTTCTCTATCTGTCTCCAGCTTCCTATTTAACCAGACATACACAGCAGCATCTACTTCTGGCAAGGCGCCACACTGTGCCATGGGTGAATCCAAGATGAATTAACTAAGCAAAGGATAGCCTAGCACTGGGCAAGGCGCTGTGGGAAACAGCAATAGCCCTGCATCTTTCAGAGAGAATCTACCTACTGGGTACCATGGTTGTGCTGGGTACTCTGTGTGCAGATCTTCAAATCTTCACGACAAGGCAAGGGAGGCATTATCCCCATTTCACAAGGGAGGAAACTGAGGTTCAGAGAGATTCTGTGACATGGCCAAGGCCATTCAGTGAGTAAGCAGCATTGGTATGCAAAGCATTATTATCTGGCTCCAGAGCTTGCATCCTTTTCTCTGCACTAGACTGAGATTTAAAAAAAAAAAAAAATGCAGCAGAAGGCTGTGTTCGCCTAAAGGAAATTACAGCCGAAAACAGAATGTGATCAGGGTCCTGAGTAAGGCAGAGGTCAGGGAGGGGAGGGAAGTCGGAGAGGAGTCCCGCAAAGGTGCTGCTAAGCCAGGTCTTCCCTGCCTCCCAGGCAGGGCTTGCTCTGCCAAGGAATTGGGAGCTGACTTGGATTCTAATCCTGTTTGCATCCTTGAGTTGTGACCTTGGATAGGAGAGTAAAGTGATTAAGAGCCAGAACTCTGGCGTCCAATAGACCTGGGTTTATGTCCTAGTTCCACTAATTTATTTTCTATTTGCCCTTGGACAAGTCACATAACCACTTTGGGTCCTTGGTTTCCTTGTCTGTGAGATAAAGATAGTAACAGTCCCTGCCTCACAGGGCTACAGCTGAGGATTAAACATGATAATGTGGGCAAAGTACTCAGTGCAGAGTGATACAGTAGTAATGTCATCTGCCAGTAATTATTAGGTGCTTACTGGGTGCTAGACACTAGGCCAGGGTGCCTTGTGTACACTATCTCATTTAATCCTTGTAAGTATATTTCAAGGTGCCTGTTATTATTCTGGACATTTTACAGATGAGAAAACTAAAGTTCAGAGTGGTTAAATCACTTGCACGAGATCACAGAGCTAACAGCACAGCTGGAATACAAAAAACCCAAGAAATGAGGCCAAAAAAAAAAAAAAAAAAAACAACAACAACCCAAACCCACACTAGAAAAAAGAACTGAAGATGCGAGGCTTCGTGCCATCAAGGTACCCTGAAATCTGTGAGGATACAAAGGAAGATTTTTGTCCCTCTGTACCCCTGGGTAAGAGAGAGGACAATGTCCTTTCTTCTGGCCCAGGCAAATTGGCTGCAGGGAGAGGCATTTCTTCTACGTCCAAAGAGAGCAGCCAGTACCATGGGCTCCCAAGAGTAAGGTGTTTCAGCTCTCTTTGCACAAAACTGCTTTTGTCTGTGGTAATTACAACTTGCCGCTCTTTGGTGAGCACGGATTCCCCCACCCTGGCACTTCAGGTCACACAGCATTCCCTGATAAGGAGGAGAGAGCATGGTGGCAGCTCTCTGCAGCAGGCTGGTAGAGATTAATTGCCAAGTCATCCAGGGGCTGAATTCACATCACGTTCTGGGGAGAGCCCAGGATGCTGAACTGGGGACCAGGGCAGAAGGGCATAGCATGCTCGAGCTTGAAATCTGAAAGGCCTGCTGTCTCCGGAACTGGAATGTGTTCATTTTTATGCCCCCAATAGCAAGTAAGTCAGAGAGCAGTGCCAAGTTTAATTTTCTGACCACATGTGCTGGAATCGTCAAAGGTTATGGCAACAACCTTCTTACAGTTGGCTTTTCAATGTCCTGGCTCCTTCGGGCTCCACGGACACCAGTTAGGATCATGAACTTCTGAAATGCTGGAACCAAAAAGTCTAGAGAGCATCTGGTCCACTGTCTGAAAACTACAGCCTATGGATTAAATCCAGCCTTGCACCTGTTTTTGTAAATAAAGTTTTATTGGAACAGGGCCACACTCATTTGTGTGCATATTGTCTGTGGCGGCTCTCATGCTGGAATGGCAGAGCTGAGTAATTGGAACAGAGGCCATCTGTCTTGCAAAGTCTAAAGTGTTTACTCTCTGGCCCTTTGCAGAAAAACTTAGTTAACTCTTCATCTAATCCAACACTTATTTTACTTGTGAGGACTTGAAGGTCAGGAAGGGGAAGGAGTTTGCCTGAGGAAAAAGCAGAGTTGATAGCAAGGAGATTGACTCCATGAACAACTCTTCTTTTGCCATGCATCATGTGTTCCTGC